AGAGCGAGATAGTGATACATAGGTTGTGCTTCAAGTAGGTATTCTAAGTCTGGCCTCCATTTTTATCTATAGCTTCATGGTATAGATGACCCACGCTGAACTGTCCCGCCAAACTCAATGACAGGGGGGCGCTACCATCGTTCAACTATATGGTTTCCAACATGGCAAAAATCTGAACCAGCGATCCGGTATTGACGGTGGCGCCCCACTGTCAATGTCATCGACAGGACAGTCCAGTATTTTGGAACTATACACACAATTTTCCGATTAAAAAAAACGATTATGGAAGTACCGCAATCCGCAAACAGTTCACATGATTTTTATCCGACTTTAAAAAGAAGGAGGTTTTAGAAAGAACAAAATAATTATTGGTTTCACTTTCCACTCAACAAAATAACTACTGCTTTATGTATCAATCTAGGTACTACAATACTGCAATTTATGTTGAATAAAATTAAATAGCACACTTAAAACTGTTAGAAGTACAATAAAGAAGTACATTACCCATTTGAATCAATTTTGTAATATTATCACCAACACAGGCGACATTGTTATTCAATAAATTGATCCCAAAGGCAAACTCCTCATCATCAAAAAAGTCAAAAGGTCTTTCTGGGGGTTCAGTTTGTTTTGCTTCTGTTGATATATTCGATTTTGAATGAACCAAATCAATATATTTGTTGAAAATTGTTTCCCCTGTTCTGCTTGGCGGTGACGAAGATCGTGGAGTGGCTACTGGTGATTTAAATGTCCAATCCGATGAAAGTGAGTTTTTTAACTTAGGCTCTTTTGCATCTTTGTCCCACAAGTTATAAACACTCATTATGAATTTAAACTTTTATCCAAATTATAAATATGGTGAAAAATTAAATAAATAGGTAAACGTAGAAATTTAAAACCTGTCACATTTTTGGCATATTTTCTTGACATGATGTCGTGTCATTTTTTTTTACATTAATATTATTGGTTCTTTGATTGAGTTCCATGCCTCCTTATTCTTTTTATTATTTTATCATAAATTGTGCAGTTAAATAAATATAACATTTTAAAATATAGAATCAATTTTATTTACATCGAAGAAGTCGAACGTTTAATTTTATTTTTTGTATCTGTAATTCCGATTCTCTTTTGACATTTCGCGTCTGACACGCTTTGTTTTTTATCTGTGGCGTTCTCTGTTTGCGTGAGTGAAATGAAACTTTCGTAAATTATTACGAATTACGTGTAAATATTATAAGGTTTCCACTAAATTATATTTATTACAGTTATTTTAGATATTAGACAACCAAACCAAAATGGCAGACGTTTTAGATATCGAAAATTCAGAAGAATTTGAGGTTGACGAAGACGGTGAACGTAAGTAGCATTTTTACGATATTATCCAACTGTGAAGCATAAATTGGCCTAATTAGTGTTATATTTCGCCAGTGTAGTTAGAAAGTTCAATGTTTTCAAATAGGTAATTATTGTTATTACTTCTGTTGTTTTATTTTTTAACTTGATTATTTTTGTAGGTTATATTTGTTTCCCTACTTTCCCCGAAAATTCGGATACAGTTAGCATTTTGAATCACAATGTACTAAATTACAAGTAATAATGTAGTATTTTCACTATCGTTTACAGAGGGAATTGCGAGATTGAAGGAAAAGGCGCGAAAACGCAAAGGCCGTGGTTTTGGCAATGAAGGTGGTGGTGGCGGAGCCTCGGAAAGAGGCAGTAGGGGAAGGTAATACTTCTAGAATTAAGGACACTATTAAAATATTATTTACTTGAAAAAACAACTAGGATTCCAGGACCATAAGAATGAATGATGTTTTAGTCTAATTTGTTACATTTTGTTATTGTAAAAAGATGATAGTACATAATTGTATTAGTCAGTCTTTTTAATAGATACAACTAATAATGGTGACACTGCACAGTAAGGACTTACCATCAGTGTTGCCAACTATTGACTATAAAAACAATAGTATCAAATAAAATGCTGTAAACATTATTTTATTCACATATTTATGTTGGTTGTGTTCCAGGTATGACAGCCTAGCTCCCGAAGGCGATGGAAGTACGCCCGGTCCTCAAAGATCAGTCGAAGGCTGGATCTTATTCGTCAGCAACGTCCACGAGGAAGCTCAAGAAGAGGATATACAAGTAATAAAATAGTCATAAAACAATAATTATTAACTTTTATCAACATTAGTTGTGTGGTGTTCTGCCAAAGTAGATTCAGACCCATCGTCTCCTTATGGATGTCGTAAAAGGTGACTAATGCCCGTTTTTACCATCAATCCCTCATTTTTAAGTGACCCCTATGAAAACAAAATTCTTGTTGTGTTATTATAGGGGTCACTTAAAAATTAGGGAGAGATGGTGATAACAGGTGAAGGGGTCATACAAACATCATCATCGTCTCAGCCATAGGACGTCCACTGCTGAACATAGGCCTCCCCCAATGCTTTCCATGCTGCCCGGTTGGTAGCGATTGAAACATCAGGCATCACATAATCTGTAAAGTGTGGGCAGTGTAGGCTACATCTTTCATTTGACTAATAAATGGGAGAGGTGTGCTCCTGAAGTAGAGACAAAGTGACTTGATTGGTGATCAACTCTTGAAGTAGTTTTGCTTTCCAATAAAAACTTAGTTAACACTTTCCAGGACAGAACGTCAAGGGACGGTACCCCAAAACCTACTCAAATTGACACATACACTTACTGTCCCGGAACGTGTTAAGGTTGCAGGAGGCTGGCTAGTAGGCTCAATCACTGTAGAGATCCTTGGAATAATGGTCTTTGTCTAACAGTAGATGTCATTTAGGTGAAACTAACAAAATAACATCTAGGCTGAGAAGAAAAGCAATGTAATTACCAGGGTTCGAGGATATATTATATCAAGGGATATATATCTTGATATATATCGGATATATATCCGATATATATCAAGCCGGTTTTTATGATATATATCAACTTTTAAAATTTGTTACTGTATTTATACTTTTTGACATAAGATTTTTATTTTTTTAGTTGATTTTGCCGTATTTAAAAGAAATTTTATGTTTTTGCTTTATTTGTCTGATTTTAAGTTTTAAAAACATTAAAAACATGTTTATGTAACACTTATGCAATAGTATTCATGAATAATACAATAAAATAATAGTATGGCTTTCATACAAAATTGATATATATCAAAGTTGATATATATCGGATATATATCATAAATATCCGATATTTTGATATTTATAATAAATATCGGATATTTTCGAACCCTGGTAATTACACTCAAAATTGAATTCTAATTGGCATTTTGTCTGTTTCAGAACCAATTCTCGGAGTTTGGTGAGATAAAGAACATCCACCTGAATCTGGACAGGCGTACTGGATTCCTGAAAGGCTACGCACTAGTCGAATATGAGACCTACAAGCAAGCAGCAGTAAGTTTCATTCATGTAAAACTTTAGAAACTAATAAGTACGTGTAAATGTTAGCCAGAACCTGGCATACTTTTTATAATGAATCACACGGATGCCAACCCATGCTACGCCGCCACGTAGTGAGTACCTACGTTCTACTACCCCAATCCAAAATTTGAGACTCCTAGCACTTGTAGCAGAGTAAATACAACTGAGTAGGTCATCTTCATAGAAACGCCCGAGCGCGGATTGTATGTGAGCGCGCCGCATACGTATTGGCGCGCTCACATACAAACCGCGCTTGGTGCGTTTCTATGAAGATGACCTACTCATTTGTATTTACTCTGCTTGTAGTTTACCTTTCGCTTTTATTGATATAGATTTAAGTATTACCTAATTTATAAAAATAACCTTGGCATCCCACTTTGTTGGCTGAATGCTGAAAAAAATTCAACAGCAGGATTTGATTTATGTTAACTTATAATCAAGAATACCCTAAAATAAAGTGCTAATTCTTTATGCAATAAGAAAGGATACTCACAAAATAATATGGCTTTGCCATAAACTTTTAGTCAATAATAAGATTTATTAAATGAAATAAAACCTTGTATCTGAATGTTGCTTGATGAAATCAATTTATGTTCCAGAGTGCTCGTGAAGCTTTGAGTGGAGCAGACATCCTTGGGCAGGCAATATCCGTAGACTGGTGCTTCGTGAAAGGCCCGTCCAAAGTTCACAAGAAGAGACGATAACCACTCAGATTACCTGTGTTGCAGTTAACGAACAAACTCTAAATTGCAGTCCGATAAAATATCATTTATATGCAGAAATGCACTTATAACCAGTACGTTAGCATCAAATAATTAGTTACACCCAAAGTGGCCACAAACTTGACAACCTTATTCCAATTGTAACAAAGACGCGTTGCGAACTTCTTGGCTACTGTGGGTAGTCAGGAACTATTTTACGCTGATTACATAAGATGCTAGCTACTGCAACTTGATATGCTGTCGTCTGATTTTATCAAAACCTTTTGTTTCATGCGAAATTATTTGATTCAAACATTGTCATCCAGATTTCAGTCTTTAAAACATTTCAGAATAAATGATATAGGTGTGGTATTTCGATTTTACCCAATAGGGTCAGGGCACAGTAATTCCGTTTTTTGATGTTCAATCACCGGAAAAGAATGCTAAAATATCGCTCTTTATAACACAAGTATGTAATATACAGAAAAGTCGTACGCTTATTTTTTTTAATACAGAAACTCGCATGCATATTATGTGTAACATTAAAAATACGCTACGTCCGTATTCGAGTTAAAAATCTGAGATTTCTGTATTTTGAAGACTGCTTTCTTGGATTCCTTGATCAATTAATTTCGCAATCTTCTGGGTGTGTGGAATAAATGTCTTTTGGAACCTAAAGTTATTGAAAAATAATCACCATCAAACTACATTGTGGGTATGAATGAATCTATGCGTTCAAGTTTGCATTTGTGTTGAATTAGAATGTAAGTTTTATAGTTCTAATATAGATTTTATGAGCATGTGTGTCTTTCTACCCGCAATGAAGCTTAACTCAAAAACTAAAAGTGTCAACTTATTTTTAAAATTGTTAAACTCAACCTGTACGTATGTCATGTACTGAATGCAACACATAATTATTACTTAGGCTGTAATGAGATAATTATAAGCTATCTTTCTATACACGTGCGTTTTATTTTCACCTATCTTAATGACAAAATATTTTTGTAGAAGTTTGCTGCTTTTTACTAACTTTAGCAATTATAATTCAAAATAGGAATTAGTTCTAACAAAAAGCAAAGATAATTCATATTTGCTTTAAGTAACTGTCCTCACCCTAGGTTGTCTGGAAGAGATTGCTTCATAGCGATAAGACCGCCTAGTTGTACCTTGTGTGTTCCTTTTCTTTCTGTTCTGTTCTTTGGTGTGCAATAAAGAGTATTTATTATTATTATTATAATTCCAAATATTCAACATGCGATTTTAACGCGAATGTTTCGTACCAAATCAATTTTAACTCACCGTAGTCGAGGAAGAAACATTCAACGATATTTTTTATAACTCGGAATGCCAAAAAATGTGGAAACACGTAAAAGTCCAAATGAACCAATGTCCAAAAAATGTGGAACGCTTCACGATTTTGCGTGTCATCCTTGCGCAGGGGCCATGCTAATCTTCTCTGTATCGTTCCAATTTTATTATATGTACTGCCGAAGCAAGTACACTTGGCTGGCATGAAATTTTGTATTTATACTGAGCGGGAAAAAAAATCAAGATACCGCGATTCAGGTTTTCATACTTTCAGGACCATTTGTATGGATATGTCAAAATAACGCCATCTATTGGCCGAGTTTTGGTACCTATCTCTCTCATACATTCCAGATGCTCTCGCGTGAGAGTGAGCTAGCAAAAGACGCCATCTTGAAATACAGGGTGGGCGCATGCGTGGTGTCTACTTTTTAGAGGAGGGTGAGAAGGATCAATAATTCCAACAAAACTGTCCGCGTTGTGGCAATGCAATTTCAGAATCCAAAAACATGCTTATTATAAAAACAAAACAGTAATCATTTTGCCACTCAACATTTTTAAACATCTTTCTAATCAGCTACAAGAGCTGAGAGGAAGTTTTAAATAGTCTTTAAACAAAAAGGCATGATTCAACATGGTGTTAGTTTACCATGTTTTTAACAAACAATGCAGGACCTAACTGTGAACCTTATATTATACAGGACCTAACTGTGATCCTTGTGATAATTTTCATAATGCCTTTGGCTGAGCTGAATCCATCGATAATTTTATAAAATAGATGGCATCAGCAACAATCGTGTACCTACTTACTTACAAAATGGATTTATTCGTGGAGGTTAAGTTTTATTATCTAGGCTAAACAAGATCGAATGCCTTTCTTAATACAAGTTGTTTCTGTGTATAGCAATAGCTAGATCATTGTGTAAAATCATTTATGCAGATGTTAATTCTAAAGAATCATCACGATTTATTTATTTATTAAGGCATACACAACAGGTAACAATCAAGGTATACAACGGTAGTTACAAATAATTGCAATTATTCTCCCCCGATACTAATTACCCGCAACTTAAAATACACTGTAAAATAAAACCGTACCTACCTATAGTTTGCGTAGGCAAATCAAGAGATTTTTAGCGAGGCTAACGATACTAACTGTTTCTTTGACAAAACGGAGAATACTTTACTGACCCCTTCACTAACTGCCCCTTCTCCTGGACCTCTTGATCAAACAGACCTGGTCTCTGAAACAGAGCACCCTCCGTGTCTCTTTTATCAGACAGATCTACCCCAGTAACAGACTCTTCCCCTCCCAAGATCAGACTGACTCCTAGTTCAGACTTCCCTCCTACTACCCTGGATTGGACGGACTCCCTCTTCCCCCTCAGAGGCTTCCCTTCCCCAGGAACAGACTCTCTTTCCCAGGATCGGAATGCCACTCCCCGTCCCTTCCTTGATCAGCCTCCCCTCCTCCCTTGGATCAGAGTCCCTTCCTCCCCTGGATCAGAGTCCTCTCCTCCCCTGCTGGTTTATTTATTTATTTATTTAAAGACTTTATTGCACACACAACAATGTTCAGTAGGTACAAAAAGGCTGGCTCAGACAGACACCCCTCCCTGAGTCAGAAGCTAGTTACCCTTACATTTTCACTAATTTAAGCGCCTCCTCCTTTAAAAGACGGTTAAAATCAAATAAAACACGTTTCTATAAACAAACTCAATTTATTCACTTCATACGGATCATGTGTGCCAGCTCCCAGCGCGGCGTTATCTCGGCCAGGTCTTGCACCTGGACCCCGGCCGCCGTCACCACGCCCAGTTGGTAGCGCTGGAAGGCGCGCGCGTCGCGGTAGTACAGCACTATGGGCAAGAGAGGAGCAGGGCTGCTTCTAAGTGTCTAAGAGCGGGAGACTACGGAGACCTTCACTTAACTGAAGCGGTACAAGACTAATGGGCAGGAGAGTGGCAGGGCTTGTTTCTAAGTGTCTTAAGAGCGGGGGACCCTAGCTTCTTCTCTAAATCTGATCCCTCTCCTCCAGATCATACTGTCTTTCCTCCCCCAGGATCAAAGATCTCCCCTCCCAAAATCAGACCCTACTTCCTGGATTAAAAAGACTCCCCCCTCCTGAACCAGATTGCCCCCCTTCGACTTTAATCAGAATGCCTCCCTCTTCCTAGGAACAGACTGCCCCCCTCCCCAGGATCAGACTCTTAGATCACTCTCCTACTGTCAGGATCAAATTCCAACCCCCCTCTCTCTAGGATCAGACTTCCCTCCTATCCTGGATTGGAAGACTCCCTCTTTTGCTTGGATTAGATGCCCCTTCCCTCTTAGATCAGACTCCCATTCCCTCTAGATAAGACTGCCCGTCTACTCTGTTTCATAAGCCCCATGTCAGGTTTTTACTAAAGAAAGAGCCTCTTTCTTTTAGAAAGAGGTTAAAATCAAATAAAACACAGTTCTATAAAAAAACTCAATTTATTCACTTCATATGGATCATATGCGCCAGCTCCCAGCGCGGAGTTATCTCGGCCAGGTCTTGCACCTGGACCCCGGCCGCCGTCACCACGCCCAGTTGGTAGCGTTGGAAGGCGCGCGCGTCGCGGTAGTACAAAACTTCGAGGCACTTTTGGACTAGGGCCCTGGAAGAAAAGTAATTTTACAATTTCACAAATTTTACAAACGCCGTATCCTTGATCCTTCGCCTTAGGCGGGACCTATATCAAAATTTGATGAGGGCCCATCAAAAAAAGATTAATTAGACTTTTTAGATCATGGGGCCCTTTTCATCTGAAAGAGGTCATTGCAAAATTATAAAACTTCTTATCTGCCTAGATAGATGCCTATTCAAAGATACGGGGTCCCCAAAATACCGGGGACCGAGTGCCAAAATTTTTGCGAATAATTTTGGCACTCGGTCCCCGTATTTTGGGGGCCCCGTATCTTTGATAATAGATCGTTCCATCCACGAAGACGCGCACAAATATTTGGTCGAGCGCGGGTTGCGGGGAGTTTGATCTGAGCGTCATCATTGTAATGTGCGTGTGTACTCATAGATAATTTAGCGTGTACCGATATCACTCAAACATTAGCAGAATAACAGTCTCAACATAATCATCATCAACAGCCCTTTACAGTCCACTGCTGGATTATGAGCCTCCTCCACTATAGTGGAGGGTTTTGCCATAATCTCCACGCTTGGCAAGCAGGTTGGAGATCGCAGTTTAAAAGATTGATGTTTTTCAGAGAGCGCTGCTGCCCGTTCTGTTTGATGTGTAGTCCCTAAGTCGCCTCTTACGACACCCGTGGGAAGAGAAGGGGTTGGTGACAAATGTATTCTACTCTGCCGTCACCACACGGCTTAACCAACATAATGCCGTTCACTAAAAAGAACAGAAACAAAAATTGTCTCTTCTACAAGTTGATAGAACACAATACTACAATACAATCACTCTACTCTACACACAACTCTCTCTCACCACTCACACACATACACACACACACACACACACCCACTACAATAACAAATCCTAGTGTTCCTTTTCTTTTTCTAATTAGGTTAATTAGGCTAATTAATAGTTAATACGCTGCCCTTGTAATCCTTGCCATACATCACTACCATGTCTGTGTCAATAATATAATATAATATCGGTTCTTTAATTAATTTTAAATTGTGCCAATACCTGGGGTGGTGGGAGCCTGATGACCTGTACTACAAGTATGCAAATACCTATCA